AAGATAATAAGAGAAAGATATAGAGATGACGGCAAGACATAGGGTACATAATTATAGATAGGAAAATGATAATAATAATGAGATAGAGATGACGGCAAGAAAGAGAGTATTACACTCATAGCATAATAATGAATAAAGATAATAAGAAAAAGATATACAGATGACGGCAAGACATAGGGTACATATAGATAGGAAAATGATAATAATAATAAGATAGAGATGACGGAAAGAAAGAGAGTAAACACTGATAGCATAAGAATGAATAAAGATAATAAAAGAAAGATATAAAGATGACGGCAAGACAGGATACATCTTTCTTTCATTAGTTTTATTCATTCTTATTCTATCACTGTCTACTCTCTTTCTTGCTGTCATCTCTAGCTCTTTCATTAATTTTTATTCATTCTTATTCTATCAGTCTACTCTCTTTCTTGCTGTCATCTCTATCTCTTTCTTTCATTATTTTTATTCATTCTTATTCTATCAGTCTACTCTCTTTCTTGCTGTCATCTCTAGCTCTTTCATTAATTTTTATTCATTCTTATTCTATCAGTCTACTCTCAGGGAACACTTTTATCACTAGAGTCTTCGTCACTGCTCGATTCGTCGGAATCAGAGTCCATGCTCCATGCTTCCATAGTAACAAGATCTCGAGCCTCCTCTACACTAAACACACGTTGACGTTTTCCAGCAGGTGCCATCGTAACATCAGTAAAAAAAATCCAAAGAAAACCGCTAAATACACGGTAATTTCGAATGTAACACTATGAAGAAAAACAGTTTACCGGAAAGTGTGCGATGTATACAATGTAAACAATAGTAAACGCAACGCGTGGCTACACACTGCGAGCGGTATTATGAATGTCTAATTGACTCGTATACATCTGTGCAAAAATGCGAAGTTGGCACGCCTACGTCCGTGCAAATCGGCGAACAAAGCAAACAAAGAGTTAAAGTAAGTTCATTAGGAGACGAATGAGCGTAGCGAACGAATTGAAAAGACACCCTCACTCGCTTCTACGGCATTGTAATTAATTTTAATCAAGACTTCATTTACACACACAGACAAATCACAGCCTACTTCAAAATTATGATAATGACATTGAGCATATGCCATGCTCAGCAGAAAGAGAAGCGAGATAAAGCTTTGTGTGTTGTGAGAGGATGGCGATATTGATCGTGTCCTACCCCCTTCAATACAGTAAAACACGGATAAGAAATATTCCAATTCTTGAAATGTGTAAGAAATATTCCAATTATTGAAATGTGTAAGAAATATTCCAATTATTGAAATGTGATTGACATAGTTGCGAAGAACAAGAAATAGATTTATTTGTCGATAAACTGCAATTTTTTTAAAGATGTATTACATGTATAATAATGTTCTTACACGTGCCGGGTAACAAACACGAGTTTAGCTTTCCACCTTTATACTCAAAGCCCCTACCTGCACACTTCCAGGGCCTTGGCATAAAGTGCGTAGTTTTTGGAAATATGCTCGATAACGTAACGCCAAAGTTAGAAACATAAATCGGATTTTGAATAATGAAATTTGGTATTTCCACAAAAAAAAATTGGGGGGGGGGGGAGGAGGAAAGGGGAGTTTGGGGCAAAATAATGAGTGTAATGTTATCATCTTGTCTAGCGAGAGGTACGAGAAAAAACAAATTCCTACCTCCTTTTGTAAAGATTAGCACTTATCACGAATTTTGACTTTGGGGCCTGTTGAGACAGGGTTTATAATGTACACGCAGTACTGCATTACTTGGTTTGCAAGACAGTGTAGTGACCGAATATTTAGAATGTTAATATTTTACATTTTAGAGCCAAACAAGGCATTAGTGTTATATACATCAATGCCATTTCACGTCATTTAACAACATTTCTTTCTGTCTTGAGAAGGTGCTCATTGAAGGGGTCGAAATCGATTATTAGTACTTGAAACAAAGAAAGAAAGAAACAAAAAGTCAGATAATTGCATGTTGAAGCGTTGTATTTTCACAGTAATAAAAGATATTCGTTATACTGCAAGAGGGCGGAAACGATTTAGCCGTCCCCTTAATCATGTTACTGAAAGGCAACATAATGGAAAGAAGGGTGAAACTGCATTTCAGACCTGTTATAACTGAAAGCTTTACTAAACATTATTTATTGTAATTTAGGCGCAAGAAGTATTTCCCCATCCATTGATAAATGGAAGCACCTGCCCACTCTTCCAATGCCTATTCTACACATAATATTTACGGTGCTGAGAAACATTGCATCTTCAAACATTCGATGGAGCGTACCCACGGAGCGAGAACAATTTCATTGTGATATGCTTAATGTTTGCGTACTCTCTTTAAAAAAAAGAGTGAATTTTCACTCTATTTTCACTTTCTTGGGAGTGACGTCCGTGATCACTTGTTTAGGAGTGAAAATCGATTGATTTTAGAGTGCTCTCTAAGAAGAAAAGAATGAATGTTCACTCTATTTTCACTATATTTTCACTCTCCAGAGGAGTGACGTCCGTGATCACTCGATTTTTTTTTAGAGAGTATAGGGTTAACGTGTTAGAACACAATGAACAATTATTATAAGTGTAGGGTATAACAAATACAAACACGTTATCTTCTTTGAGGTGGCCTTTGGTGGGGGTGGGTTGCAGAATCATGTTAATATCATTAAAAATAAATGTATGCAATTTATATTTTTTGATGTACATGCATTTTCTACAACTTCCTCTTATACTTTTTTCTTCATGTTTCTCCTCTCCATTTTCCTGAATTCATATAATATTCTGTTTTCTTATTTTTGCTGCCCAAGCAGTCGTAACTTTAAAAACTATATATGCATGTATTTCAATATTGACAAATTAATTGTAACTGTATTTTATGTTTGAAATATGCAATGAGTGTTTTGTTTGTACACATGATCAATTCAGCCATTGGGCTGCGACACATTTTTTTTCAATAAACCTTGGTTCAATTCAATTCAATTCAATCATTAACCCTTCAATCATCACCACGTGAATAATAACGATTCTGAATTGGTGTATTTTCTTATTTTTATTTTCAGCCCGTTTTATAATAAAGATTACCTACATTGGATCGCGATAATAAAGAGGGATACAGGTGAGTTTGGTAGGTAGGATCATAAAGTGAAGACATATGAAGTTTTATCTTTAAACAATTTTGAATTAATACAAATTGCACTGTTGATACACATAGTATACACCACAAGGCGTTGATTTACACCACCGTATTCGTTAAAAGAATGATTAATTAAATAAATAATGTTACTAGCCAGAATTCTATAACGCATGAATCATTATGTAGGTTGTTTAACTCTGTTTACGTATATGGTGTTTGTGTTATATGCACTGTTATTAAATGTGTAGGTATCTAACAATAATGACACCTGCTACATGATGTTTCATCAGTAATGAATAGGACATAAAAGAAACGAGGAACAACTATTATTCAATTTATATCATAATCAAATTTCTACAAGCAATTTCTTTTTGTTAATCATTATCCACATATTTAAAAAACAGGATAGCTCATTGACAATCGTGTTCAACCATGAAACCCTGTACATAAACATATGACATGATATATGATTAATTCAATTTGTACATATGGTTCAACTATGGATATTTTCTTTTTCTTTGTAACCATGTACATGGATAAATTTGACATTTTATGTTTGTTACCCACTTGAATACATTTTGTAACATTGTGTTATGTTGTTGTTAATAAATTCAAATTATTTATTTAAAAAAAAAAAAGAGGGATCAAGGGGATTATGTCAAAGTCAAGAAATAACGATAAATAGATCGAGAGTAGAGTTAAATAATTATGCTACAGTACATGATTTGACCTTGAAATCAAGTATTTATCTAAGTTTTCTATATTATCCATATTAATTACACACCATTAATTCTGATCACGTTGAATCGTTTACTCTTACAAGCCCCTTTTTCCGTTCATTTTGTAAATTATATACTTTTTCCTTGCTTAGTAAATTGCATGTTAATACTTAGCTCTGCTTGTGTAAGCCTGTGTTAATATGTATAATAGGCCGATGTGATAACACTATTTCCCCATTAATTTGATTATCATACCATCCATTGAAATGCTTGATCAAGATTCATTTTTTTCTATTAGAGTTAATATGCATGCTCATATCATCTCATATCCTCGGTTGGTAACCAATCGAATAATCACGGTGATTTTACAAGATTTGGGATTTTGAGACGATCACTAACTACCGATCTTTAGATTTCCCAATCATGTTTCAACCTTTTTTCCGTTGAAGTTGTAGTATTTAAACAATATCAAAAACAACATCATCAGTCTATAATAACATTTAAAAAAAAAACGTTTTAGCCCTCCATAGGCTAATTTATTGAGTCAAACAAACATTTTTACAATTCAATGAAATTAAGTCGATTATAACATGATTGTCCCGACTAATTTTCCTACCACAAGTATATTACATTTCATTTACATCATCATAGTTTTAAATGTATTACTATCTCATTACTCACTTCATTTACTCCCTATACCGGCTCCTCGTCAGTCTCCTTCCTTTATCACCCTCATTTCTCTCTCCCCCTCCCTACGTTTCTCACTCGATTTTGCCCATTTATTTAAAAATTTAAATATGGCAGGAAATGATATGCCACTGAGAATACTTATAAAAACACATATATATGATGATGATGATGATTCACAGCATTTGTATGGCGCCATTTATCTGTTTCAAAAACATTCAAAGGCGCGAGCTCCTACAATAAAGTTATATAGCATAATTTAAATGTCTGAAGGAAGATGTAAGTTTTGAGTGAAATATTTCAGATTTTCAGATTTTCTCAATTCGTTTGTGTTACCCCCCCCCCCCCCAGGAAGAAAAAAGGATATTATGTGACGTAGGTGTGGTATGTAGATGTCATAAAAATATCATGAGTTTGGACGTTATGGCGAGTTTAACTCACTGAATATGTTTCGATTGAATAGGCCGTATCCCTCTAGATGCTATATTTCGTTACGGAGGCGTCCCCAAAGCGAGAAATAAATTGAAGCAGCCCGCCGGGAGCACTGATATGTACGAAATACCTCAACCTGATGGCTCTCCCTCAGATGACGACCAGTTGCAGTTGCTTGACCTTCTACGTGGATGCCTTTATGAAGGCGACAGAACGTTAGCAGCTAATGATCTGAAGAAGATGTGCACGAATCCACGATGTACGTTGTTCTATGAGAAAACCAAGAAAGAGGTGAAAGAGGCGAAAGAAGCAAATCAGAAGATGTTCACAGAGGTCCAAGAGCAAAATCAGGAATTAAAGAAAGGGAGAGAGGAAGACAGAGAAAGATCTGAGAAAGAGCAGCGCTTATTGGCAGCAGATATGACGAAGAAACTCGAGTCTAAGCAACAGCAAGTTGACACTTTGACAGAAATCGTAGGAGAGAAAGAGCGAAATGAGACGACTCTAACACAACATGTTGAAGAGCTAAAGAAAGGGAGAGAGGAAGACAGAGGAAAAGCTGATAAGGAGAAGCGCTCATTGGCAGCAGAAATGACGAAAAAACTCGAGTCTAAGCAACAACGCGTAGACACTTTGACAGAAATCGTAGGGGAGAAAGAGCAAAATGAGACGACTCTAATACAACAAGTTGAGGAGCTAAAGAAAGGAAAAGAGGAAGACAGAGCAAGATCTGAGAAAGAGAAGCGCTCATTGGCAGCAGATATGACGAAGAAACTCGAGTCTAACCAACACCATATAGACACTTTGACAGAAATCGTAGGGGAGAATGAGCGAAATGAGACGACTCTAACACAACAAGTTGAGGAGCTAAAGAAAGGAAGAGAGGAAGACAGAGAAAGAGCTGAAAAAGAGAAGCGCTCATTGGCATCAGATACGACGAAGAAACTCGAGTCTAAGCAACAGCAAGTAGACATTCTGACAGAAATCGTAGGGGAGAAAGGGCGAAATGAGACGACTTTAAGACAACAAGTTGAAGAGCTAAAGAAAGGAAGAGAGGAAGACAGAGCGCGATTGGACAAGGACAAACGGTCAATAGAATTAAGCTGGAAGAAGGAGCATGACTATAAGGAACATTTGGAGCAACTTGAGCGTGAGACCTGGAAGCTGAGAACCAAAATTCAACTAGAAAGTGAGATACGATCAGCAGAACAGAAGAAGAAAGCAGAGACACATCAATTGAGTTTCATTTCTCGGTTCACTACTGCTGGAAAACAAACTCAGGGTGGTAAGACTTTTTTTCCTTTTTAACTCCTTTTTTAAAAATTATGTTATAGGCCTACTATATAACTCCCATTCCATTTTGGGTTACTTTCTAAAATATTTATAATGTGAGGCTTATCCAATGTGGTCCTAAACCTAAATTGATATATTTCTCGTTTGTTTTAGATGTCATTATGTCAAAAAAAATGACGCCATTCGATTATATTATCCAAGGAAACTAGAGGGATGTAATGTTTGTGCATTATTTACACTTTAGAAGTTAAAAAACCACATAGAGATACAGTCAACGATAAATATCACTCAAAATATTTCTCTTGTTTTTTTTTCTCATTCAAAATGACCTCATTCCTTCATGACAGGCACATCATTAGTTGAGGACAATTCAACCGGAGGACTGGGAATGAGTGATACATTACAAGCAGGGTGAGATGAAATATATTTACTATTTACATGACAATGAAAGCATTATTGATTTTAAAGTGACAAAACTACTATGGAATGAAGTTTTGTGTGTGAAATGAGGGGTGCTAGACTGTCGATAAAAGTTCATAAAGTATGGCAGCACTTATGTTCTATGAATCCAAAATCATGATTAGAAATGTCATGACCACCTGTGATGATGTAGAAGCAGAAGTGACCAAAAGATTAAAATTCATTAACGAAAACATGGGAATCTTAGCTGCATTCCAGTCTATGGTGATTAGAGTTAAAAAGTGAATCCTTTAATGAGTTTATATCAATCATTTTAGCATGTTGAGTATGGTCTCATCTCCAGAAGAACCTATCTTTCCGTTTTATTTATTCACCTCAGTAAAGATTTTAATTACTTTTCAAGTTGATACGTCATACCTACTTTCTTTGACCGCCCCCATGTTTTATTTATTTATTACCGTGTACCATTCTAGAGAGGAACCCCCAGATGATGAGTTTGCAGGCATATTACAGCAGATAGCTGACGATCTTTACGATGAAGCCAAAATCGACAGCCTTGGTGGTCAGCTGGGAATCCTACACGGTGATATACAAAGAGCGCTCATGACCAATGTGAAGTTCAACCGTGTTACCAGTGATGGAACTCGCCATATGCTGAAACAATGGAGAGAAGGTGTGTCCAGGGAAAATGAACGGGTTGAGCTAACGAAGGCGCTGAAAGCTGCCAAGTTGTTCAACCTTGTAGACCTGTATCTCAGCGAAGGTAACGTATATTTTCATTAAGAACAATTGTAGTTTCGTAATAAGGTCCCCATTCAACACTTCAGCAACATGCTGTTATATTTGGTGTACAATACGGCCCATGTGTTTAGAGTCAGATTTATAGTATTTTCTGAAACAAGTTCATTTCCCACATTTACACTGCTGATATTTCGTTTAAATAAATACTATTAAAGGAGAGAAAATAAATAAAAGGAGAGCTTAGGTACTACTTTTAGTAAGCATTTTCCTTATTATAGATGGTAAACATTAAAATTTAAAAATTCCATGCGATAAGTTCTACAAAATTATGATAGTTCTGATTCGATGTGTTTTGAGAAATAAAACAATTATTTGTTTTCTTTCTTGCTGCCGGTCAGGTGGAGCAGGAAAACAGATCGATGCTGAATATGCCAACGTAGACGTCAACGATCAGTAGCTACCTTATAGAAATGAGAACTTTCTATAACAGGACCAGACCAAAGGACATACTGACATCCAGGTACTTCAGGAAGCTACAGCAAGCAGTAACCACACTCCACGAGATGAGCACACAGGAGACATGGCTTTCAAAACCCAGGAGGACTTGACAGATGGAAGTTGGAGTCAACATCTTGACCAATCACCGGAGCGCAGTACAGAGGACTTGGATGAATCTGAAGTGACTTCTGAAGAAGTGTCCTCTGAAGAAGTTCATCCTGGTGATGATATGAACATCGTAAGTAGCATTCAACCTTCTGTACAATCACCACTCCATGAAATGCAAGTCCTACCTGACGACATGTCTGAGATAGCCCCCTGCTATCTTATGGTGGGAAACCCAACGATGAATCCACCACCTTGGATACAAGCCATGTGGGCGGAATCATAAGTAATGAAGAAGATCTGGTTTCTCAACTCGTTCTTATTGATACATCCCCGGAGAAAATATTGCTCCTTTTCCTCGTAAAGATGATAATGGATATATCCCAGAAAGCACTCAGCTTATAAGGAATCACCAGAGAACCTTCAAGTCAAGTTTACTCACATTATTTTATCAGGGCGACTGGTTTTTAGCCCCAAATTATTGTTGACCCATGAATACGGTGACGAGGTCGAGGAACGTCGGCATGGTCGACCTCATGAAGCGTCTGTGGACGTAAAACGTCGCAAGCGAGAAAAAATTAAATCCAGTTTACTTTTTTTTATACACTATCTACTGCCGGGATGGTTGAAAAGAGTAATATACATAACCTTTATGATCATTAAGTAAATCATATTGCATCCAAACACCGCATATATAATTTCAACAATGTGAATTGTTGAAATATTACAAGTATAGCATGCAGAGCGTGATGTTTTTAATGTAGATTTGAATTTTCTTGTTGGCAAGATAACTGGATATAGAAATTAAATCAATTCTAGTAGTTATACAACAGTCTATTATTAAAATCGGAGCAATTTTAATTTATTTTTGTATTTTAATCTGTCAAAAAGTATTAGGTTTGATCAATCCTATAATATTAATCTTTTAAATTTCATTGTATATTTTAAAGGAAATCTTTATATGGATCAGAAGAATCGAATCATTTCCGTTAAAAAAGCTGCAACGCTCGTTGTTATTTATGTATCTACCGCCATTTTGAAATAGATCAGTAAATAGACGAATACATGAAACAATAACGAAGTCAATGAATGAATAATGAATATGAAATAATAAATAACTTAAATAAAGAGTATAAACATTGATTGTATAAGACACAGCACTCTTTAGAGAAGTATATCTATCACAGTTTCTTTACGGTTTTGTTTGTCTCTGTTTTTAAATATTTTTCCACGTACGTATTATGTAGACGTACTGAACGTATATGCATTAAAAAAAAGGCGTGTTAGTTGTTATTCGGGTCATGTCCAATATGTCCAACCTTGTCTACGCATATTTAACCGGTTTCTGTGCAGGTATTCGGTCTCATATAATCTTGGTCTTTGATGCGCCTGGTATACTTGTCATTTATCTGGCGTCTGTTAGAAATATTATCGATTTGTTTTACATTTCTTTGTGGCCATATACACAATTTATTGTCCGCTAAGTATAGCAGTAAATAACGTTATTCTAAATTATGTAGTCGATGACATTTAAACTACGTGAACTGCATTTTATGGAACGGAATACATCATGTATATGCTAATCGATGTTACACAATAACGATGTGGGAGATTAGACGGACACACAAAGGGAATAGACGACCTATCTACGCGAAGACAGCGCGAAAAGCAAATCACAAAGAAAAGAAAATGTATATTTAAATTCTTCAAATTGGATATATGACAAGATATGATAATAAGAACGTTACTTATATAGCGCATATCACTAAGACAAAGAAAGTCCCCATGCGCTTAGGAAAGAAGGAAATAGAGATAGGGCAGAATAAAAATGAACATTTATGCCTGATATATGAAAACTAAAGAATTTGGACCAAACTGCCAAGCCATGTGTGCTTGCGTATGTGTGTGTGTATATTATGTGCGTGAGCGCGTGCTTTGCAGCAAGACTGCGTCACGAATGTTTCAATTTCCTCTCATGTTGGTGATGCCGTAAAACTAAGGTATACAACAGTGTTTATATAAAACACAATCAGCTGTCGATTTTTTTTTACAGACAGTTGCTTGACCAGATCTCAAAAATATCTATAACTGCTTTTAATGTTCTGAATGAATGTAAAACTAACCACCCCAAAAAATGAAAATTAAGGAGAGAGAAACAAAATATTATATGTTGAATTTATTTTACGAACATCACTTATGAATCCTTTGATATTGTGGTGGAAGCATAACCCTGACATTATGACATTGTATTGCTGTATATTATTTGCTGCCTGTTTTCCTACGATACATTTGTTGTTGAAGCTAATAATGTTCTTTATAATGCATGTGATTATAATTGTGATTTTATCCATATCATATTTTCATATGTCATATATTAAATTTTATGTCGTTTTCCATAATACCGTTATTGATATTCCAATCTTATAGATATTAGTGTTCAGTTCCTAAAATTATATTTTCAAAATATTTAGGTTAAACAAAAAATTACATAGATTATAAAAGAAGACTTAGATGTAGACCTGATAGATGTAGGCCAATACGGTATAACATATAACCAGATGGCTTATTACTATAATATTAGCAGAAACTCATTTGGCTGTACATTGATGTGGTCACACACAGGGAATGCAAATATTAACTCTGAAAGGAACTTCCGTAAATTCTTGATATGTTAATAACAAACACTGAATAGATGAACATGTATTACTTTGCACTTGTTGCTTGCACCTACCGTTAGTACTCTGTATATACAGACATGCGCTTAGCATTGAACGTAAATAGACGTAAATAAACAATAATCGCATGAACAGTATACAGGCCTATCTGCGTGCAAAATATCATAAGGGTTTAGCTGGCATCCCAAATCGAGCAACTCTTGATTTCTATGTATCCTCGAATCGCAAATGTATGTTTTGCTGTATAGCGCTTGGCAAATATAGTTGAACCTAGAAATGAATTTGATATATTAAGTCATATGCAATTGTCATCATGTGTAGCACAATTTGTGTAAATGATACACAATTATGTAAGAAATAAAGTGACATGACTTTTGATTTAATTTCGAATATGTAAGCTACTGATACCATTTCTTTGTCTTCCTCAATATATCACTAATGTCTATTTCTCTACCGGATCGTTCATCAGCTTCATATCATTTTACTTGCAAGAGAATCATAAAGTTTGCCCAAAGAAAACCTTGATAAATCATTGAAATATTCGTCTGGCATTGATATCTCTTTTACTGCGTAAAGTGTTTTCGAAAGTTAATGACGGTGCGGGGAGTGTTATAATTATTATGCAGTCATAATTTAACCCGTTGTCATCAACGGGTACAGGCATGTATTTAACACCAGAGGGACGGGACATAGATTTCACCCTCGCCTTGAACATTTGTTAGAATTTAAAAAAGAGAGAGGGTGAAATGGAGAAATAATAGAAAGAGAGAGAGAGTAATGAAGAGAGAACTACAGAGGGGAAAGAGGGGGAGAGAGAGAGAAGGGGGTGCGGATGGGAGCATGCACACTTTATAACTTGCATTGTTCAAATCAAAGCATTATGAAGAGTTAAATGGTAAATGCTGACAGAAGTTGACAGAATTATGAATTACACGTTCACTTCTCTTGTTTAATTTACTTACAACATGAACAAAGTGCCACTCTAAACTGTTCTTCAACATAGGAAATGCACAAATGCCGCTTTAATTATTTTAACGAAATAAAGCCAATCTCATTTTTTTGCCGGAGTAAATGTTGAATCACCGCAAATTTGAACATCTTTTAACGTCTTTTGGTATGACGCGGCCGGGGTTCGAACCCCTCCAACGCTCTACTGACTGAGCCAACACTTCCTGTTGATTAGGTGCAAATATTTACTTGACGCGATATCAAAAGTAGATCATAAAGTTCAATGATTAGGCCCCTTATATCGGTGTTTACTCCCTTCAGAGTTTAAACGTTTGACTTCCATTGCAGCAATACAAGATGCACATACTCCATTCTTGCACAAACTTTGCAAATGCTTTACGAAGTTTGTAATGGCTTAGTAGACAATACATTGATTTTGCTTTTGCTATTTTTTTTCTCGCGCCTTTGCCTTATTATTCGAGATAACAGCATGTGCCCATGCATATTGATGTTGCTGGTTGTACTTGTTTGCGCTCCGTCAAATGCATGGCCGTACCGAGGAATTATTTATGTTGGGGACCGGGGTAAAATGCAATAAATTATTGATAATTTATCAACGATTTCGTACGCTCAGCCTAATTTTGCCGGTTATTATAATATTGTATCTCTATAGTCCCTACACTTGCTGCAAGACGCCGAAGATGGCGTTATTAACGAACTCGTACGCACAGCTTAATCTGGTCGATTATTATAATATTTTATCTCTGTAATAGTCCATACACTTGCTGCAAGCCGCCGAAGATGGCGTTATCAACGAACTCGT